AACGCGTGCTTCTCATTGGTCTCTCTAGTTGGTAGTTCAATGTCCACTTTCCAGAGGCGCTGAAACTAGCACATCGCCGGTCCCAGCTAAATCGCAGGTATGACCACTCTCAGGATCCTCTCTGGCTCTAGCTTATTTACGTCTCCTTATCTCCTTCTTATTTCATGGTATAGTCTTGCTTTAATATTATTCAATATGGAATCTATGGAGTCACAGCTTAGTTATTCTGATTTGTTGTTATGATATTAAAAAACGTAGCATTAAATGACAAATTTAAAAACGCTAAAGTGAGTAGAAGAATGCTTTGCGGCAAGTAATGCCACAATAATTCAGTAAAGAAAACTTAGCACATAGAGGTTATATTCAATCACAAATAAACACAATGTAAGTAATAAGAAAATATAAGGAAACCAACTACATAAAGCAGTAAAAGGAGAACCTTTAGAAATGTTAAAAATATTAATGCTTAATATCTTTTTGCAGAGATTCGCGTAGATGTTGGATGAAGCTTCAAAAGCTTTGAAGAAAATTTATTTAGAATGGGGATTCCTGGTTTAACAACGTACATATCGAATGATTCGGAGCGTTATCTCGAATATTACGCGCTACATGACAGTTATTTAGTAATTGATGGCAACAGTATATGCTGTCAATTGTATACTTGGTACGCAAAATGTAATTGCGCCTTTGGTGGTGATTATGACAAATATGCCCAGTGCGTGAGAGATTTTTTTGATAAACTTTTAAAATGTAACGTCACTCCGCTGGTTTTGATCGATGGCGGCTGCGAGGATAAGAAGTTACAGACAATTATATCTCGAACCAAGCAAAAGATTGAGATTGCATCAAGTTATACCTTATCTTCTCAGCATCGCAGCAAATTTCTTCCCCTGCTTATAAGAGAGGTCTTCAAAGATGTGATGATTGAGAAAGGTATTAGGTATGCACAGTGCATATTTGAGGCAGACAATACCATAGCTGCAATAGCACGCATTCTCAATTGTCCCGTATTGAGTTATGACTCTGACTTCTATATTTATGGATCGTTATACATACCGTTCAATACATTGGAAATTGGCATAGTACCTAAACCAACAGGCAGGGGTTACATGAAACGCTGCAAAATTTACTATGTTGAGAAACTTTTCCGAGCTTACTACGGATTGAATCAGTCTTTACTGCCCTTAGCAGCAGTATTATTGGGAAATGATTATGTGAAGCAACACACATTTAGAAACTTCTTGCGTCATCAACCACGAATGGGAAGAAGGAGATACAACAATGAACAACAACGACGTATAGACGTCGCATTTCATTGGTTACGAAGACGCAGTTTAAATGAAGCGGTAATCGGGATATTAAGTAGATTACGAAAACGAGAACGTAAACACGTTTTAAATATAATAGAAACAACAATAAATGGTTACATCAACGCACCATTGAGTGTGTTACACACACTTGGTATTTCTGCGGAAATCTCTTCGAGGATAAACATGCAGAATATGTCTAAGCTATACAAGTTTGAAGGCGATATATATAATTTGACATATGTGGACGAACAGACAAATGAGGTGGAGCCGAGCGATGGGGAAGAGATAGAGGACAGAGAAGTAGCAAACATACTTGAAGACAAGGAATTGGTTTCTAATGAATCTCTGGTTGACAATTTGCCTCAGTGGTTTATTAATGAATTCAAACAAAGCAGATATCCTTCCTATTTTATAGATTTAGTAATAAGGAAGTTGTATGTTTGCCCTACACAAATTGAAGATCCTTCTCATGTCTCATCTATCATTGTAAGTTTAAAAATTATAGGTGTTATTTATGGATTATTGATGTCAGGAGTAAAAGGAAGGAAAACCGATATGGAATATATAACCAAAGATGAGAATAAGAAAATTAAGCGTTATCAATTGGAGTACAGCGACAATATACTTGGTTGTAAACTACCTCCTTTACTCAACCTGAGAGAAGTACCCATTGTCATCAGAAGAGAAATTTTAAACACCACTTTGACGATTTCCAATGCAAATTATATAAACGAAATTCCATCGATTTGGATGTTATATATTGCAACTATGAAGTATTGGATAGGTCAACAACAGGAACCATCTAAATTCAATTGTCATATATACTCTTTATTATTCGCTTTGTTATTTAATATAATAGATCATAATATAGGCTTCTCTAGAATCCTAAGTAAATTCAATCAAAGATTTAGTAGAACTGTGGATAATATTCGACATGAAAGAAGAGTGAGAAATTATCAGCCACAATACTCAATCAATGCTACACTTGTAGATGCAATTCACGAGGTTAATGCAGATGACTGCTTAATTACAGCCGCATTTTTCATATCTAATTTTGAAATAGATCAGAAACTGTATATGCAACCGAAAAAATTTAATATTGCAATTGTTCATGGTTTTGCAGAATTTCAAAATTGTTTGAGACATAGTATGAACTTAAACGCATTATTGGAATATCCGTATGAACCAATCAAAGTTGCTAATGTGTTCAATGGGACATTATTGTACAATTTATGTAGCAATTTTAAAAAACGTGACGATGTTGAAGTTTATATCAATTTAATTTTGCAAGATTCCCCAAGTTTGTCGCGTCTATTTAACATACTTTTATTAAAAGTCAAACCTTTGCTTAATACTGCACTAGAGAGGAAGACCGAGAAAGTTGATAAATGTAAAAAGCAAAAAACAAAAAGACATGAAAAAAAGGAATATATTCCACACGAAGAAGATCGTGAAGAAGAAAAAACATGCGAAAGCACCAGTGAAGAATTTTATGATATAAATAATCCGTTTTCTATACTTGGTACCGCGTAGTATTAAGCTTTTTGTTGTACATAATTAAACTGCGTACAGAGTTGCTTTACAATTTAAATATTTTATGTTTGTACGTTATGTGTACATAGTATATATATATGTGCGTGCGTGCGTGCGTGCGTGCGCGCGCGCGCGCGCGCGCGCGTGTGTGTGTGTGTGTGTGTGTGTGTGTGTGTGTGTGTGTGCGTGCGTGCGTGCGTGCGTGCGCGTGTGTGTGTGCGTGTGTGTAAAAAGAATTTATATTGTAGAGGATGTAACGTACAAGAGTGTCAAATGATATACAATTGTATCATAACATGTTTAATTTTTACACACGATTACGGTTTTAGATTAGAAAAAAATCTAAATCTTCACTGCTATCGGTTTCATTGTTCTTAGAGAAATTCACGTAATTCCTTCGTTTTTGGTGCGATTGCGATCTTTTAGTATCTGATTTTTTCTTTCTCATATTAGACAACTGATTGTTCTAAATGAATAACAAACAAGCGAAAAAATCTTTATTACACGATTGCACTTTGCTGCATAAAAAAATCAAAGATTGACATCAGAGAAATCAACATATTACGTTTTTGTACATCTCCCAGAATGCACTGATTGCTGTTTTAACAGCATTAGCTTCTTCTCGTAAAGTTGGTATACAATATTGATCGTCTCCGTATTTGGCAAGCAGTCCAACGCATACGGCATATTTTAATTTTTCTTGTAATTCCTGTTCGAGAGCTTTGAAATTAGTTTCAACTGGATAATATTTCTGTATATAATCTTTTAAATTTTTTGATTTAACAAATAATTGACGTTTTTGTAATTCTTTCACAGCTGTACGTAGCATTTGCGGCGTTACTGGGATCTTTTCCATCTGAATGCGAAATAAATTTAGAATATTTTATTCTAATCAAACGCGCTACATGTATAAAGTAAAAAAGAGAAAAATGTTATATATATATATATATATATATATATATATTTGTTTTTATTGCAATAAAAATATAAATACTTATATTATAATCAAAATTTGTAATAAAAAGAGAAATATGTTATAATTATGAGACTTAATAAAATAATCTTAATCTTTATTTTAATCTTTTATTAATGAAATAATTTCCTAGAAATTTTGAAAGAATATAAGGGTTTATTATTGACGTACCATTGAGCAAATAAAACTTTGTAATATTTGAACTTACTGTATTCGATGCATTAATGTCATTAACAGTATTGATTCGGTATACATTATTCTGACATAATTAATTTTGACAATTAAATGACATTTTGTTGATTATACGTAGATACATGTAGTAAACAGATACATGTAGTATGTATGTATGTACATACATACATACAATTCGTAGTGCGCATGATGAATTAACTTTCAGCACATTTCATTGTTTTAATATTTTAATTAAAATCAGTAAAATTAAAAAATTTATGTTATAATAATTTCAGAAATAATTTTAAAGAAAAATGGAAAAAGGAAGAAAAAAAGATTTTCTCTAATTTTTCTTATATATGTTTTTTATTTAAATAAATTATTTATAGAAATACTATTTCTCTAGTAATTATACATACAGATAATTTTATAGCAACATTATTTTTTAGGAAAAAATTTAATTCTATAATTAAATAATTATATGGTGTTTTTTTAACAAATTTAACAATTAAAGATATAGCGGGATAAATTTATAAAGAAGAACACATATATTCCATGTTCAGAACTTATTAAAATCACAGCTGAAATAAAGGTACGTTAAATAATAATTATAATTTGATTAAGACCGCCTATGTGAATAACACAACTAACATCAAGAGTGTCTTTTTGCGGTCACGGCTGGATCTTAGATGCCTAATAAATTCTATATGAATTTTTTTCTGAACTCCATGTACAGCCGTTAAACTGCGCGCTGATTAAATATGTTCGGACTTGCGAAACGCAATTATTAGCTGAGGCTGGAATAGAAATATCATATTGATCTTCCTAATCAATCGATGCTTTATAAGCATCTTAAAATACTGAAAAGAACTTATTGCGAAAAATATGATCTCACAATCAGCCAGGATTTGTTAACCTGGAACTTGATCCCGACTTTCCGGGGCGGGCGTCTTAATTATAACTAGCTCGACCACCGAGGCATGTGATAATGTTTATCACAATAACCGGTATATATAATAAATGAGAACGTATGCTAAGAGATACGTGTGTTAAATAATAATTTGAATATAAGACCGCTTATATGTGAATAACACAACTAACTTCGAGAGTGCCTTTTGATCGCGGTTAGTACGGCTGGATCTTATAGAATATAGATGCCTAATAAATTCTATATAAATTTCTGTATGAATATATTCAAACAATTTAGATACATAGGCTCACTAGAACATATCAAACATATATTAAGCCGTATGCGAGCCAACACGGATGACGGAGTGTTATAATAATTTCTTTTTACAATATCCAATTACCACACGCACACTGCGCGCCGCAATTCGTCGGTCTTGAAACGCAGTTCATTACATGAGGCCGGAATAATAACTTGTAACAAATTAAATCGACTAACGATTTAATCTTTAGAGAAAATCATCACCTCGGTAGTCTAAAGGTAGGATGCCCATCCGGCAAACGTGGAAATCCGGGTTCGATTCCTGGCTGAGAGCTGAGGTGATTTTTTTCGCAATAAATAATTCTACAGATTCGAGGGGGGGGGGGGATATAGATACGCAGAGCATCAAAAAAAGGTTAAATCGTTAATTGATTTAATTTGTTACCAGTTATTCCAGCCTCATGTAACAAACTGCGTTTCAAGACCAACAAATTGCGGCGCAGTTTGCGTGTGGTTGGATATTGTAAGAAGAAATTATTACACACCGTCATCCGAGTGGGCTCGCATACGATCTAATATATGTTTGAATATATTTATATAGAATTTATGCTTAATAAATTCTATATAAATTTCTATATGAATATATTCATATAGAATTTATTAGGCATCTATAAGATCCAGACCGAAAAGGCACTCTCGAAGTTGTGTTGTGTTATTCACATAGGCGGTCTTATTCAAATTATATAATTATTATTTAGAACACCCTCTTGCCTCTTAGCAGGTTCTCATTTAATATATATACAGGTTATTGTGATAAATATTATCACATAATACACATACACACACACACACACACGCACGCACGCACATACACACACACATTCTCTCTCTCTCTTCCTCCCTCTCTCAGATCCACTAAAAAGCCACAGGCAAAAATCAATTATATTAAAGAATCGATCATTGAATGCTCACTAATCTACTTTGTCTGCTCAACGCGCCCAATATTATAGATTAAAAAAACTAAAAGATATATAAAATAGGTGCTAATAAAAAGCAAAAACAACATAACTAGCATACATCAAACAAAATAAAAAAGTATAGAAATAAAGACAAATATATGAGACCAAATAACACAACTGTTTACTTATGTTTGTAGTAAATTTTAAACTAAATAATATTTAAAGAATAACTTACAGATGTCTCCATGTCGCCTATATCGTCAATCACTCAAAATCGCGTAAACTCGCATAAACGCAACTTTTTAAAACAAGCGAAAACAGAAAATACGCAACGGCTCTGATTGGTTACGCCGGTTATGCGTTACGCCGGTTATGCGTTATATCAGTGAAAATATCAGTGAGATATACATATACATACTAGGGCTGGTGATTTCCTTCGAAGGTTTCGACATTCGAACTTCGAACCTTCGAAGATTCGAAGTTCGAAGGTCGAAGCCTTCGA